CGCAGGTCTCTGGAGCTCAACATCGGGACAGGAGCTGACGGTGCTTCATCTCCAGACTCAGATGAGAGGGTCAACGGACAAACCGTGGTGGGGCTTATGGGAACATTGCCCAATGGGGGCACAGAGAATGGGGAGGGGCTTAGGCATGTCAGGTTGCCAATGATGGAGGGCGTTGATGAGGCGGAGCTGATAGTTGGTGTGGCTGTGGGCCAAATGGAGAACATTCTCCAGGAAGCTACAAAAGACGAATCGGCACCAGATAGCCGCAGAGACACAAAGACAGACCACACGAACGAAACCTCCGCTCTAAACGGCCAGAGTGATGATGTTGCACATTCAGAAGAGGCACAACTAAATGCTGATGCTCAAGAGGGCAAAGCTAAAAGCCTTGGAGATGGAAATGTCAATGGACATTTTTCACAAGATGGTAGTTCTGAAGCTTCTTCTGCTCTCAGCCAGGAAACCTCGGGAAGCCCAGATTTAGAAGAAGCACTGGAGAAATGCACGATACAAGAACACAATCCTTCTAGTAACACAAATAATTTCCCTCCCCATGGCCTCAGGACTGTGAGTAACGGCCACGGGCGAGAAACCATTGAGCAGGAGAAACGTCTTTCTCTTTTGGAGAGCTCCACGGAGACACTTACGGAGGACTTGGGCGTTCGGCCTGAGAGTCTGGGACCCTTAACTATCCCACCTCCTCTTAAAGACCTTGCCGAATCGTCGTGCCTCAAACAGGGTCTCCGCACCTCAACTGACCCCAGGACTTTAAGCAACACCCCCAAACGGCCGTCTCTCAGTGCCTTTCCTCCCTCCACTGACCTCCTCCACCCCGTGTGCAACGGAGACTCCCCCGACCTCGAGCTCTCCACGCCGCAATGGGCGGCGCGTACAAACGGGGAGCGGGCCACGCTCAGCCGACAGGTGTCGCTCGCCAGCTGCGGCTCGCTGACCCTCCACGCACGGGGCACCTGCTCCCACCATCGCTGCCTGCACTTGGGGTTTCTGGGCCGGCCGAGCTTCAGCCCCCCAGAACCCCCTTCG